CCTCCAGGAAGTCAAGGTCCACGCTGCTGCTGGGCACCCCGGCGGGCTCACTTGCTGACAACTGATTGGAAGGCTGTGCGTCGGGGATGTGGCCCTGCGGGGGGGGGGGGGGGGGGAGAGAGAGAGAAGGGGGTGCAGGGGTGTTAATCTGGGCTCACAGACTGACTGGGCGCCGCAGCCCTGAGAGGGAGAGAGAGACTGAATACAGACACGCTGCAAAAACAGCGACACCGCTCCAAGGCAGACAGCCAACAGGGAGAGAGGGAGATGCAGACAGTCTGGGCACTGCAGGACACCGACAGCCCACAGAGAGTGGGAGGGGTGACAGCGCAGGTAGTCTCTGCAGTACTGGACACGGACACGGACACGGTGCATGCTTGCACGCACGCACGCACACACACACACATGCACACACACACAGGGAGGCGAGAGGAGGAGGGAAAGAGAGAGAGGCAGGAAGAGGAAGGAGAGGGGGTGCCGTCAGCGCTCTCTGTGAGAACGAGAAGACAGCCTGCCCCTGGACAGTTCACAGGAGAGATGGAAACACAGAGGAAGTGCGTAGGGGTCAGTTTGCTAGAGGCGTGCGTGTGTGTGTGTGTGTGGCGTTCGCAAAGCGTGTGCACAGGGCGCGGGCAGGATACGTGCACGATGTGTGTGTCAGAATTGTGTATTTTGTGTGTGTGCGTGGTGTACACTGCTTTAAGGTTTGTGGAGATTTTGCGTAGAACTGGTGCGCTGGGCGTGAGTGAAGTCTGAGCAGAAGGTGTGTAGCCTCATGTATGCCAGGTGTGAGTAAAAGGGGTGTGGAGCGTGGATTTGTGTGTGGAGGTGGGGGAGGGGGGGGTTACTCACCCCGGAACTGGAGAAGAAGGAGCTGGAGGGGTCAGCCGAGCCATCCAAGAGGTCATCACTGTCCAACTACAGACAGACACACGGACACCCACAGGACAGACAAGGGGCAGACGCACAAGCATGCGCAGTAGCAGAGGTGGGCAGGCAGACACACACATGGAAAGGACAGACATGGACAAACACAATGGACAGACATGGACAAACACACAGAGGAACAGACACACACAGACAAACATGGACAAACACAAAGGAACAGAGACACAGACGGACAGACACACAGACAGACATGCACAAACATGGACAAACACAAAGGAACAGAGAAACAGATGGACAGACACACAGACAGACACAGATGCACAGACCCACAGATGGACAAAGAGACATGCACACATGAACAGATAGGACAGGCACATGTACAGACACGCATGGACAGGACAAAGACAGAAAGCCATGGACAAACACCCCAATGGACAGACACACACACACAAGCACAGACAGAAGAAGGACAAGCAAGCAGACAGGTGGAGAAGACAGGATGAGAGACAAGGACAGATCGAAAGACGCGGATGGAGAGACCGAGCGACATGCAGGCGGGCAGGCAGAGGGCAGACAGACAGAAGGGACAGAGGGAGTGGTTCATGCAGCAGCCAAGCGGAGCCAGAGGACCAGAGAAGTGGAGGGTCAGAGAGGGTGAGGAGAGACGGACAGAGACAACCAGGCAGGACAGGTCAGCAGGTGAAAGAAGCAGAGAGACAGGGAACACTATATTAGTGCTTTCTGATTTGTGTCACGATTCAAACACACAAAAATCAAATCAAATCTGAGTTTCAATCATGGGGTGCAATACGGAGGTGAGAGAAAACTACTAGTAGTCTAGACAGCTTGGAGAGAGACACCCAGAAACAGACACCCCAAGAGAGAGAGGGGAGCACTGTGTGTGTGTGAGGGAACTTACTGTGAAACTGCCGCAAAGGACAAATTAATATGCAGGTGAATAATTTAAGAAAACAATTACGCACCAGAGGTCTACCTAACTGCCTGCCTGTCCCCCTAACTATCTATACATCTCAATCTATAGTGGGTCTGAAGGCCATTCCTCCCTCTCCCTCCCACCCTTCCCCTGTACTCACATGTGTTTCTGATCCATGGAGAAAGTCGTTGAGTGCCTGTGGGTCACTGCATGGAAAGAGACAGAGATACCGTCACTCACAGTAACGACAGAAGAGCACACAGCATGCACCGATTGAGCTGGGCACACCGACAGCACCGGGGCTGGCAATCAGACCCCAGTGCAGCCCGTTCTACCTCACTCCAGGCATTCACAGTGCTGTGAAGCCCGGAGTGAACTGTACTCCCGGTACAGAGCTGCCTGATGCACTGAAGGTTTTACTCACTTTAGAACGCATCGGAAAAAACGAGACGCCACTGTTCCATAGTTAATTTTTTTTTGGAAATACCAATAGTATCTGGCCAAATCAGACCCATCTAACCCTCCCACAGTGCAACCGCATGGGGAACCCCAGTCATAGCTGAAATATGATATAAGCCTATATCACAAATGACATCAGTGATCTCTGAACTGTAGGGTTACAATATGACACAGACTGGATCAGTGATCTCTAGACTATAGGGTTACAATATGACACAGACTGGACCAGTGATCTCTGGACTGTATGGTTACAATATGACACAGACTGGACCGGTGATCTCTGGACTGTAGGATTACAATATGACACAGACTGGACCAGTGATCTCTGGACTGTAGGGTTTCAATAGGACATAGACTGGACCAGTGATCTCTGGCTTACAATATGGCATAGGCCAGACTAGACCCAGGTTGTGTTACTTGGGATTCCCTTCTTCTGTAGTTTCATAACAAACTGAACAGAAATCTGTTTGAAACCCTGGGAAAGTGCCAAAGTCAAGGTTGTTCTTGAAGAAACTCATGGATTTATTTTACAACACAAGTTAAAACAAGGGATTCAGGAAAACGGGCACCACATTCCAGTGTGAAGATGACACTGAGGAATATCCCATTCCGCAAAAGCCAACAGTGCCAAATTCTCACCCAGAAAACGCTGATGTTAATTTTGCATTACATTTCCTGGTGAAAATGAAGAACTGGTGTTTTGTATGTGTGTGCACAAGTTAGGAGGGAGAGGCAGATTATCTCTGTACTCCCAGCTGGCCTAAAAATAAGGAAGTAGTTGTGATGTCTTATCACCCGGCTCTGGATCGCATACAGGGTAAACCCTGGCCTGGATCAGAGGGCAGCGGAACGGAGTCTTCTGTCTCTTCCTACGAGACTGAAGGAGATGATGTCAGGGCCCTGGTAATTGTGTGCCGTAGTGAAAAACAGCTCTGAACGAGAACAAACCGATCACCCGTGAAGAGCTGCTTAGTCAGAAATAACAGCCAGCGAGTTCAGGAGTTAGGCTGCAGAACATTCTGTGCTTGGAAAACGTTTTGGACACTCAGGGCTGACAGGTGGATGAGCTCCTCAGTTAGTTCCTTCAGGACCTGGGACCTCCTCACACCATTGTGCTAACAACCCATAAGGTGACCGGCGGCAACCAAAAAGAGCTTTTTCCTTCGAATACACCGTGAGAATGAAACCGACCAGGTGCAAACTCACCAAATTACATCTAGCAAGCACCTGCCATCTTCATCATCCATGTCAACTGCAGAGGAAACAGAAAAGAACAGTTAGAGCTCAGATTCAGCTCACTGGCAGCACAGGCACGGACAGGATGACAGGACATTTAGAGGACAGATACGGCACACTAACACAGTGCTTACAATGCAGATACAGCACAGCTAACGCAGTACTGTTTACGCAAGTGCATCATGCTTTTAAACAGCACACCGTCTGACAGGTGAAACCCATAAATCTCAAACTTGGAACTGAAGGAGAGAGGCAAGTAAATGCAAATCACAAGCATGAACAGATTTTACAGCTGCCATGAAAGCAGGTCGCTGACAGCTCAATATAATTACGGGTGTAATAGATTCGATACAGTTACAACTCACTCCCAGCACAGATTACAGTTGTGGTTTCTGTACAGTTACAACTGTGGATACAGCACCGTTCACTTAAAGTATGAAAAAAGTTTAAAGAAAACGTAGAGCATGGTTTTAACAGATTATCATATTTGGTTGAAGCACAACTCTGACTGTGTAACAAGGAAGGAAAATAGAGACACAATCGCTATATAAACACAGGGGCTCCAATAAGAGTCT